AAAATCAAGTGGCATTTGGTTATAGCCTCACCCATTGCTTACTGTAAGGATCCAGTGCGATTCCGCCCTGCAGCCCTGCTTACAGGAACCTGCCTTCTTGTTATGACCCCCTGGTCTTGCTCTCCACACTCCACAGGGGGGAAACAGAGATGCTTTCCTAGCAATGACTGTATAAATGACCACTGCACTCTAGAACGGGAGTTACATAACTGTCACAGCAGCTCTGTACCAGGCCCTTCAGTGGGCCAATGCACAGCCACACCAAGGGAAACTGCCACCCATAAACACACACACCTCAATGGCAATCAACAGCCCTGTGTCTGCAAATTCAACCAATGGCGGATCAAAACAGAGCTTCAGAAACAGTGTACTGAACACGGACAGAATTTTCTTGTCATCATTCTATTTATACGACACACTGTATTGCGTATTCCACATCATCTGGAGATGAGCTGAAGTATACCAGTATGAAATATACCAGTATGAGACGCAGGTTCTAGCAAATGCTACGTCATTCTGTATAGGAGACCTGAGCGTCTGGGGATTTTAGAATCTGACGGTGGGGAGAAGGGGGAGCAGGGAGCAGTACCTAGAACCAACCCCCTGGGGATATTGAAGAACGATTGTATTTAAAAAAAAGCTCATCTCAAAGTTGCATACTGGATAGTCCCATGTATCCAATACTCTTGAAATGACAAAATTAAAATACACAGAAGAGATGAGTGGTTGTCAGGGGTTGAACATGGTGAGGGCATAGAGATGGAGGGGCTACAAGGAGTGGCACAAATGAGATCTCTGAGAACAGTTCTGTCTTGATTATGGTGGTCACATGAATCCCTGCAGCTGATGGCAGTAGACTGTACACAGCCAATTTCCTGCTGTTTGATATCCACTGCTGTGAGGTAATTATGCAACCAGGGTGGAAACTGGGCAAAGGGCACCTGGAACTTCTCCGTACTGTCTCTGCAACTTCTCACGAATCTCTACTTCAACATGGAGAAATTTAAACAGAGAAAGATTTGCTGAAAATATGTAATGATCACACCATTCTCCAGATTCCTTCAGGATGGCTGGAATCCTTATCAGCACAGCATGGGTGATGGTGGGCCCTATGACCCACTCTTAGCCAATGTTAACCACCTGGGAGCAGCAGATATGCCTAGCTGTGGGACACCTGCAGGCCTCTGCCCAAGCTGCTCCATCTGCTTGACAGGACTGCCCATCTCTCTCTTCTTCATAACGTTCATTATCCCTTCAAATCTAGTTCAAGCACCTGCCACTCTTGTATTTCCTTCCATAGCCTTACCCTTCATGGCAACCTGTCCCCTTCCCTACCCTGTCTGATACTTTTGCTTTGGTTTGTTGTTTTTGTACTACCAGTATAAGTTTACTTCTACTCTTGTGACCCCATTCACTGTTTGTTCAAAGATAAAATTATGAAGGAAAATAAATGTGTTTGGGCAGCATAAGGCAGAAGCTAAAATTAGGATTCAAGAGTCAGATCCCCTGTGAAAGTGCTACTGATCTCAGTGAGCAAGCGCAGGTGACTGTGAAGTGGGATGGACATGAATCTCCGGCCACCTCCAAAGAGAAGGGGGCAGCTCACCTCAGGACGTGCCCTGGCACAGCCGTACACCCTGAATCTGACCAAGCCTCCGATAGATTCAACTACTTACTTTCAAGAAACAGAGAAACAAGTTAAACTGCAGACACAAACTGGTATAATTTCAGCTACAGAACAGCTGATTCAACAAATAAATTACAAAAAACAGAAACAGGGGAATTTAGATGACAAGAACACTTATGGGACTGGTGTGCACTAGCAAGTAGAGGTGCTGTAACATGGCATCCCATACCGATGCTGATTCATATCCCAGCCTCTCCACTTGTCCCGGTCCAGCTTGTTAACACTGTAGGAAAAGCAGTTGAGGGTGGCCCAAATGATTGGGTCCTTGTCGCCCATGTGGGAGATCCCAATGAAGCTCTTGGCTTCGGCTTGGCCCAGTGCTGGCCATGGCAGCCATCTGGGAAGGGAACCAGCAGATGGAAGACCTTGTCTCTCCCTCTAGCTCTGTAACTCTAACATGCAAAAAAACAAATAAATATTAAAAAAATAAAGACACCTACAAGATTTATCAACCAGTCCCAACACAAGCAATAACATGGATCCACTGTCAAACCATTATAGAAACCGCAAAACACATAGGACATTCTAAAATTATAATACTAAAACTGGCTATTTCATAATATTAAAAATTACTGATTTCTGAATTTAAATGGGTAAGGTGTTTTCCTTAAGATTTATTTACTTGCAAGTCAGAATTGCAGAGAGAGGGGACAAGGGATACAGATTGGTCACCTGCTGGTACTCTCCAGATGGTTGAAACAGCCAGGCATGGGCCAGGCTGAATTCAGGAGTCTCATCCAGCTCTCCCATGTGGATGCCAGGCGTCCAAGCACTTGAACCATCTTCTGCTGCATTCCCAGGCCATGAGCAGAGAGCTGGATGGGAATTAGAACAGCTGGAACGAGAACTGGCACCCATACAGGGTGCTGGTGTCACAGGCAAGGGCTTTATTCTCCACGTCGCAGTGCCGGTTGGAGTCTGTATCTCTTAGCAACATGCAAGTACACAATGAAAAATTCATGGGTGATATAACACTGAAGATTTATTTGAAAGTAATATGGGTGGTACGTCGTTCAATGAAGCCTAATGAGCCAGAGTTTGTAACACCTAAAGCTGGACACTGCTCTATTAGAAAGTCTCTATCTCAGTTAAAACTGAGACGGATGTTGGAAATTGTTCATACTATCACAAAAGGCCAAGTACAAATGATTAAGAATTAATGATTAAGGATATATATGTAAAATGGCATGTGTTTACTAAGTGTGAAGTATATATTTACACCAAAAATGGTTGCCCAAAAGCCAAATCAGCAGTCTTTTAAAAAAAAAATCTGATTTTTATGTCACCTGAGACATCACGAAAGCAGCTAGCTACTCGCTATCAATTGCTCTGTCTGGTACCTTTTTTAATGCAGAGACCTTTTTTTTCGGTTGAAAAACAAAAACTCAAGTGTATTCTTCATCATTTATTTTATGGGGACCAAACAAAAATATTATCTTCTTTCAGTAAATTAAAATACCAGGGCCCTGAAAATTAAAATCTCAGGAAAATCAAAACTTTCCAGAGAAGATTATGTCAAAATAGGCCTACTTTAGCTCCACAGACTGCTTTTGAAAGGAAGGAAAAAGGTAGGGTAAATGGAGTAAAACATGAAGCAGCATGGGCAGTGTTGCTTGAGAACAAATTAGAAGCTGGTAGACAGCACTCAGGACTGAGGGCCTGGGCTGAGTGTCCCCCAGGAGACAGCCACTGGGAGCCACTGGAGCCTGGGTGCAGGCAGCGCCACTCCTCCCTGGCAAGCAGGGAGCCTCCCCTGGCCCCAGGCTACCATTCTTCCTCCCGCCCAGGGAGGCCTGCATCACATGCCCATGGCCAGTATTTAGCAATCAGGAGGAGTCCTGGCTCCTCTCAGAAACAGCGGTGCTCTTTCTCAAGAGCCCCACATTCCACGCTAACACACCTGGCCCTGTGGCTGACTCCAACTTCACTCCTGGTAAAGCTCCTTTCCTCACTCTGCCTTCCACACTTCCCCCTGCCTGGCAAGCTCCATTGGGACATGCCATGGCACAGCCCCTCCCAATGTCCCACATCATTCACTGTCCAGGAACGGTGTGTCCAGGCATTTTTTGGGGGGCTCTTGGGCCCTCTGCAGGGAGCGGAAGTTTGAAGGGACCCTGTGGGTCTCTCCCAGCAGAAGCATGACCTAGATAACAAGAATTCAGTGGATGTCTCCTGAACCAGTGGATGTCTCTGAAGAGGTCATCAGAGTCAAACCATTATGAAAACGTAAGATTAGATACCATAGCTTGTTCTGATAATGACCAAATAAAGAGGCCAAGGCCATTAAGATGTTCTACAAAATGAGAACAAGCTGACAAGTTTCCCACAGTGCTTGGAAGTCACAAAAGGAACAGGTGAAGCAGACACAAAAGGCAGGTACATTCCTTGCATCATTCATTCATTCATTCACTGAGCTGAGACTCAAATACTTCCTGTATGCTTTCCACAGGCATGAGCAGACACCAAAGGACACATCATACAATTACATGTTTCCAGAAAGCTACAGGTCAGTGTGTGTATGAGTGTGTGTGTTTTGGGGGGAGGGGGGAGGAGTGGCAGAAAATAAGGGCAAATACACAGCTTCAACCAAGAGCTAGAAAGAACATAAAACATGGAAACAGAATGATCCCTAAAGAGGGAGGCCAGGAAGGAGCGGACAAGGTAAACACGAGAGGTAACAGGTGCAAAGTCCGGGGCACACGGATTCCGCCAAGTTCCCGGCTGGCAAGCCCCTGAGTGGGACGCGGGAGCAGGGAGCGCACGGGATAAGAGTTGTTGTGGTGGGCAGGTGAGCAGGGCCTGTCTGTCTGGCCGGGCACCGGAGCAGGCAGTGACGAGGCTCAGGACCGGTGGGAGGGGGCTCACCAACCAGGGACGGGATCTGGCCCAATTTCCCACAAATGCGCACAGACGCGCGCGCCCGCCTGCCAACAGCCCAGTGCTTCAGCGCAGACGCGGCCTCACTTCCCCGAGGGGCGGCCAGCGCCTCTGTCCCAGGCCGCGGGGACCAGCCTCGGGCTTCCGAGCACCGGGGCCATAGCGCAGCGCTGACGGCGGGAGCGCACGGACCCCGCGGGGCCACGCTGGGGACAGGGCCCCGTGGCCCCACGCCGCGGGCACGACCGGGGGGCGGCGATTGCGGCAGTCCAGGGCAGGGGCGGCGGCCGCCACCGCCGACTTCCCACAGCTCCCGCCGCTCGCACACCCGGACCGGCGACCCCGCGCCCACCCCGCGCCCCGCGCCCCTCCGCCGCTCCTCCGCGGCGCCCGACCCCCGCACCCCCGCCAGGCCTAGCCAGCCCGCCGGGCTCACCTCGCCTCCCAGCCGCCGCGCCGCAAGGAAAAGGGCGGGCCGGAGGACTGGCGGCGCTGCGCGCTGGCCACTCCCGACTCTGCGGCCCCGGCCCGGCTGGCCGCCCCGCGCCGCTGCCACCGCCGCAGTGGGAGTGAGGGGCGCGGGGCGCTGCGACCCTTCCGGTCGGCTCCTCTCCGCTCAGCCGCCGCCGCCGCGGCGCCCGGCCTGACCGATGGGCGAGTCCGCCAATGAGCGCGCGGAGAGCCGGGCGGGAGCGGCCAATCGCGCTCTGGGGCGGGCCGCTGTCGGCAGCCTCGGGCGGGGCCAGGCCGACGTCTGCGGGGTCCCGCTGGCGGGGCCGGCGGAGGCTGGAGATGCGGGCTCGGCGCAGACGCTCGGGCAACACCGTCCGCCTAGGGCGCGGAACGGGCAAGGCCGAAGCCCGGCGTCCCAGCACCGCGGCTCGACGCGTTGGGGCCGTGTCGGGGTGCGGCCAAAAAGCAGGTGGCAAGGTGCAAAGAGACGACCATGCGGATGCCATGGTGTTCCCGGCGGCCAGGGACGGCAGGCAGTGTGCTTGTTGGCAGTGGTCAAGTCGCTGACCCAGAGCCCTAGTGGGGCACCGCAGGACCGGATAAGCACAGCTGGAATAAGGGGGCGGAGGCGGGACACAGATTGGGGAAAGGAGGGGGGCGTTGGACTTGGGGCGCTGCAAGAGTTGGGGCCGTGACTGACGGATGCTGAGTGCCAGGAGAACCGGGACTCCGCGGATGGGGAGGTGCGGGATTGGTGGGTGGGGCAGGGGAGAAGCTAACTTGTGTGACCCAGGTGCAAAAGGTGCTAAATAGCTGGGCTAGGCTTCGTAAGAGGGGTTGGGTAGGGAGCCTGATGCAGCCGTGGTGGCCTCCCATGACCACCAGAGGGAGTTTTGTAAGATTGGATATTGGGATTGTAGCTCCTGAAGGTGGCCGTCATTGAAATGGGGCTCACCTGGTGGATGGACACGTGCCCTGGGTTGGGAAGTGGTGGTGTCCATATGCACTAGGTTTTAGCAGTCACCTCTGGAGCCAACGTGTAACCCAAGTCTACTGTGTGTGTATACACAGGCTTTCTGTATCACAGAAAAGAGTTTTCTGTAAGGGCTGTGGTTGACTCTTGGTTTGTGGAGTACCATGGCCGTTTGTGGACACTGAGCTGGTGTGATAGGGTGGGGAGGGCCGCTGGCCTCTGCATGGGCAAGGCATCAAAACTGGTAATGCCAGACAGCAAGTGAGATGTGACCCAGCAGGACCTGCACATGCATGTTAGTGACAACCGTCCCTGATGCCAGCTGGGGACAGGCAGAGCAGGACTCCTGGGCGTGTGCAGGAGAGTGCTGAGCCGAGGGGCACTTGGGTCTAAGGGCTGCAAAGCAAGGAGCCATGTGCCTCAGGTTCAGGAATCTGCGAGTCACCTGGCGGCCTGAGCTCAAGGGCCGATTGGCACTGCTGCCTGCCGGCACAAGGGCTCACTTACCACCACTGGGTCTTGTCTAACCCAGTAGCATTTTGTTTTCTTTTAACCATGTTCCTTGGTTATACCTTGGTTTCTCTCAGAATACATTTTTGGACTTTCACTATTTAAAAAAATTACTTGCTTACTCTGTTTTCTTTTAAAAATTGACTTAGTTTCCAACATGTAAAATTTAGAAAGTTTTGCTTTGAAAAAAAAAAAAAGTCTCAGTTGTTGACTTCTCTTGAGATCTGCATCTCCAGGAAGTAGTTAATCTCCTGGAGCTGAGTGACAGCTGTACCTGTACGCAAGGCCCCCAGCTCAGCTCCGCACCACACCTGGCCACAGCTTCAGCAGTCTCTTGTCTGCTGCTCTTTAGGGCATAGCCTAGCCGTGGAAGTCAGGGGCTGCTTAGGAAGTGATGAGAGTCAATGTTTTTTTGTGTTTGTTTTTGTTTTTTTCAAAAAGATGCATAAAAGGGCATGCAGTGTTTGGGGGGTGGGGCATGTGGGGAACTTTGTATTGTAAAGGCCCTCATGATAGAAGTTGGGCATCAAGAGGAAGGAAGTGATTTTAAAACTGTTTCAATACTTCAGGGAAAAGATGGATCCATATCATGCGCAGCTCCCACCACACACCTGCTGGGAGAGCTGTGCTACATGTAGATGACAGCCGTGAGGTAGGGTATACGAGGCCCCTCCTGTAGTGCTGGTGGGAAAGCAAGTGGCAGGATTCAGCATACGCCCTCTGCCGTCAGCCAGCAGAGCCTCTCCTGGGTGCTTATCCAAGCACCTGTCCACACACATGAATGCTGGTGGCAACTGTATTCAGGACAGTCAAGAATGAGAGAGAACCCGTGTGTCCACAGTCAGTGAGTGGAGAGGTGTCCTGGAGCAGCCACACTGTGGGGCATTAGCTGGCCACAGACAGCACTGGTCTGCAGCTGACAGGTGCACAGTGTGGGTCAGCTGTACAGACACTGCTGAGGGAGAGGAATCATGCATGAGCCAAACCCTCTGCAATCACAAAATTTGAAGGTAGTTGCCAGTGGAAAAGTGGAGCAAAAAGGGATGGCTACAAGGGGTGATGAGGAAGGTTTGGGGCTGGGAATAGAGTCTATACTTCCATCATGGTGGTGGTCATTTGGCTGTGTATTCATCAGTCGCCTAAAAAAGGTGACTTGTAAGTGGATATCAGTTAGGCTGCAACAAATCTGATACAGAGAAAGAAAGGCAGGTGGCTGTATGGTATAGCAGATGAAGCTAACACTTGGGATGCTCATATCTCATGTGGAGTGCTGGGTTTGAGTCCCAGCAGCTTCTACTTCTGATCTAGCTTCCTGTTAACACATTGTGCCATTACGGTGGCTCAAGCGTTTGTGCCTCTTCCACACGCGTGGGAGACCCCATGGGTCTCAACCTGGCCTAGCCCTGGCTGTTGTCAGCATTTAGGGAGCAAGCCAGTAGATGAAGCGAAACAAAATGGTCTCAGCTTTCTCTTTATTTTCTTGTTGAAAATAAACAAAATACTTAAAAGTACAAAAAAAAAAAACACCCACAATTAAGTTATAGAATTGTCAGGTCTTAGTGAGGGAGGACTAGCTTCTGGCTTGACTTTTGCAGTAGAACACTCTGCCCTTGGCTTTATCCCCCTCCTTACTCCAAGAGAAGCCCTTTCTAACCTGCATCCCAGCTACCTTCAGCTCAGTAGCCCCTGGCTATATTCAGGGAACTATGCTTGCCTTCCTGAGACTCTCTGGCTCTGTCCCTGCCCTATCTCTCAGCTCCAATCACTCGTCAGTGTCATCATTAGCCTTTTCTAAGGCCAGGGGTGGGTTTTCTGTCAGCATCAGGCTATTTGTGTCACCACCATGCTAGTGGTTTCCCATGGTTTCAGTCTGGCCCACCCTTGACCAGCCTGGATTCCAATCTGCTTCTCCTCTTAGTATTGTGCCCTGAGTGAGGAATCCATTCTCTCCCGTGAGCCTCAGCTGTGTGGGGAGCAGCATGGGACCCGTCCAGGACTTGGGAGGTTCCAAGAGCAAGGATAGAAGCAGAGTGCTGAACAGAGTCTGTATGTGCAGGGAGAGCGCAGACTGTGCTAGCCACTGCCCCGCTCCCGTGGCCCACCACTATCCCATTTCTCCAACACCTGCCAGGACCAGAGATGCACTAGGGATGTAAGTCAGGTTATTCCAGAAGCTGTCCTACCCTTACACCAGGTCCGGATGTGTCTGCCACTGGGGGAAAGCAAGGTGGAGCTAGCCTTGAGCTTCAGGCCTTTGCAGCGGCTGCCACATTGCCTTGGTCTATATCCTGCTGCCATACAGACACCACAGACTGAGTACATGGTAACCAATGGAAATTTGTTTCACTCTGCTCTGGAGGTTCAATTCTGAGGTCAAAGGGTCCCCTTCTGCCTGGCTGCTAGGCCATCCCCAGTGCAGGGCCTGAGATGGTACGTGTGCAAGGGGACAAATTCGTTCTTCTGATAGGAACTCACTGCCTTGGTGATGGCATCAGAGCCCTGCCGACCTAACACCCTTGGAGGGCTTCTAGCACTGTGGTAGGGTGGAGCAAGTTTCTTGCACATGAATTTGGGATATTTAGCCTGCAGCAGCCTCCTTCTTCTCGTGGTCCACCTTCCTCCAGTGTTATATTTGGCTCTTGCTTCCTTTAAGGGGCAGAGGATGGTCCTCTGTCCCTAAGCCCAAAACCCACAGCGAGGACTCTGGTGGTCTCTTGGGCACTGAGATTCACGGGAGGACGTGGTGGGAGAAAGGACAGGATCAACCAGGAGAGGTATTGACCTGTGGCTTTTCCTCTGGTGGTGATAAGAGGGGCCTTTCAAGCTGGGCCCCACCTGAGGATTCAGGTGCGGAGTGGAAACAGGGCTCTGTGGGAGCTGGGAATCTGAACCCCAAGGGCCCTCAGCCTTCTTCCTCCAGGGTCTCGAGAGCCCTGGCCCCCAGGCCCTTCCTCTGAGGCATGGCATTAGAAAGATCTCTTCTGGAAATGTGATCCCTACTAAAGGCAAGGCCTGATACCATCATCCTTTCACCTTGTGGCTCCCTCCTGTCATATGCTCATAATGTAATCAGTCCACCTGGAATTCAGGCAGATTGTATGACAGAGAAAACATTGTGGGAGATCACCCCTGGATCTCTGCCTGCCTAGACCATGTGGGAGGCAATGGGCACACGGGACACTGTGTCCCCAGGGCAACCCCTGCCAGGAGTCTCAGCTAACGAAGACCCCAGTATGGCCTGCTCACTGGGCATGCAGCAAGAGCAATGGGGCTGCACCCCAGTCTCTCTTCTCTGTCTCTTTAGTGAACTGTGCTAAGACTTTCTTGGTAAACAACTCTAGGAAAACACATGTTACATTCATCCTGCTTTTCAGCAGGTAAGAAGTTTGCCCTGAGACACAGCTCCCTGTGCTACCTGACCTGTGTTACCTAACTTCATCAGAGGGTCCAGACAGACATATCTATTAGCCAGTCACAATGTCATTGTTGGGTGAAAGTACCGTTGGGATTGCCCTTCTGCATGCCCCTTCTCTTGAATAAGCTTGTGACTTTTCTCAGATAAATGGACATCCCTCCCCACCAGTTTGTCTGCAGTGTTTCTGCTCCACAGGGACACTGTAGCCTCACCCCCTG